GCACATCTCAAAAGACACATGGAAGGAAGTGTCAGCATCAATGCGTGTGTGTGTGTGTGTGTGTGTGTGTGGAGTGGCTTCTCAGAAAACACATTGCATTCAAAGAGCCATTTGTATGGAACCATCTATATTATAATGATGACAGAAGAGACTAACAGCTGCTAGTCACATTGCATGGGGCCAGAATCTGCAAAGCGGTTAAGTACATGGCATACAGCACTTAGGAAGAGCTGGTTGAAAAAAGTTTCAATAGGAATGATTTTCCAGTGGAAAAAATGCCCATTTGGCAAAAGCAAAATTTTCTGTGAAAAAATTTCAGTTTTGGAAATAAAACACACTTGATTTCCCCCCGCGAATATCGAAATGACAGCTCCTGGCTGCCTGCCTTTCAGTCACTAAAACTGACAAAAGCTTTCCTGGAGGGCCCCTCAGACTGAGCACCTCGACTCTGGGTCTCTCAGCCGCTCCGCCAGCTGCAAGGTTGGAGAAGCCCTACCTCCAATCCCCACCAGCTTCAGGGCCAGAGAGGCAAAGGTGTGGGGGGCAGGCAGGGAGACTCAGTACCTGGGCTCGCTGCCTCTTCACCCTGGCTGGAGCTGGAGCTGGAGGGGAGGTGAAGTGGCCTGGGGTGCAGTCCCTTGTGAAACTGACAACGGCCTTCCAGCAGGAAAGCTGAAAAAAAATCTGTTTGGATTTTCCTGAAATGGGATTTTGCTTGAAAACCCATCCCACGAAAAATGTAATGTTTTTGACTTTTCATCCTGGATCAGGACAAACAATTAAAAAAAAAAACAAAAAAAACAAAAAAAAAGCGAGAATCATCACAGGAAGGGATTTCAGTTTTCCAGCAAGTTCTACATGTAAGCACAATTTTCCATTGATTTGAGCTAAGCATTCACTTAAAATAAAGCATGTGCTTAATGGCTTTGCTGAAATGGGGCCATAGGCCCTGATCCAACACCACTGAAATCAATCACAGTTTTGCCATTGACTTAAATAGGAACAGGATGAAGACCTTAGGCCAGATTTTTAAAGCTATTTAGGCATTGACAGGCAATGGGATTTAGGCTCATAAGTGCCTAAATCCCTTTAGAGAATGAGATTTAGGCATTGCAATGCTGAGAGCAGCAATGCCTCAATACTTTAAAAAATGTGGGCCTTAGTGTTTTTCTGGAAGGTGCTCTGTTACAGTGATAGATGTTATGTAAGAACCTGAATAGACAAAGTTAAGGGGAAAGAGTTGTGTGTTTCTTTCTACCTGCATATTGCCTACAACACTGTCAATAACACACACCAGTGCTCCATAAGGTTTTTGCTTCTATCTCCAACAGATACCAAAAAGCACTGTGTACCTGACCTTCATCAAATGTGCACTCAACACATCACCTTAACAGTGATCTCATATGCACTTCTACCAATTATACCAACAGATCAGGCACACATTCCATGTATTCAGGATGTTAGGGCATGTCTACACTACAATCTTAAGTTGACCTATGTTAGGTTGATTTACAGCCACCACATCCTCACCAAGAGTGCTTCCGCCGACTGAAGAGAGGCAGTGTGTGTGTGTGGGGGGGAGAAGAATGAGAGCCAGGGCTCTCAGATCTACACAGCAATACAGCGTCTACAGAGACACTGCATCACCCTAACTACGCTGACATAAACCCTACGCTTCTCGTGGAGGTGGAGTTATTATATCAGTGTAGTAGGGCACTTACATCAGCGTGAACAAGGCTGTAGACACTATGTCTACACTTGCAGAGTTTTTGCGCTGTCAGTTTCACCGGTGATAGGGAACCGGTGAAAGAAAAGCTTTGGTTTGTGTACTCATTTACTTCCACAGGTGCAGGGCCGTCCTTAGGCATACGCAGAATATGCAGCTGTTTAGGGCACCACGAAATTTGGGGCACCAAATTTCATGCCCCAAACTTTGTGGTGGCCTACGCAGCTGTGTGCTTCATATGCGGCAGCACTGGCGGCCAGCCCCATCCCCTAACTGGCCCCTCTGTGCATTCCTAGGGGGGTGCGGGGCCCCGGACAACTCCCTTCGCTCCTGCCCCGCCCCCACCCCGCCCCCATTTTCCACCCCTTCTCCCAAACCCCCTCCCCCAGCGATGGACACTGCCGAGGGGATTAGTGAGGGGGAGGGGGAGGCCTGGCACTGACAGCAGGGGTCAGCCCTGCCCCTGCACTCACCAGCGGTGGTGGGAAGCAGAGCAACCCAGCCCCAGCCTGCTTCACTCCGGTGGCTCCCCGCTTCCCGCCGCTGGTGAGTGGGGGGGAGACCCTTCCCCCAAGCACCGTCCCCCGAGTGACACGGTTGGGTTGTGGGGAGTGGAGCGGCCTGGGGCTGGATGGGTCATTCCGCTTCCTGCTGCTGGCGCCAGCCCCTCCCCCACTAATCCCCTGGGCTACTCTGGGCCTGTGGGGCCCCCCAAAGTGTCCCCCAACAGCTCCTACCTCCACAGCCCCGCAGGCCTTGAGCGCAGCACAGACCCTCCACAGGAGGTGGGGGTGCGGGGAGAGCAGGGCTCGGGCTGCGTAGGGCACCATAATTGGTAGGGGTGACCCTGCACAGGCGTCAGATAGTGCTTACATTTGCAGCACCTCCATCGCCAACGAGAGCAGCGCACTGCGGGCAGCTATCCCACAGTGCAGCTCTCTCCATTTTGACGATAGGTCTTGTGGGAAGTGTGTGGGGGGGTGAGTGCAGGGTCCAAGCCAGGGATCGTTTGCTCAGTGGAGTAGCCATGGTCACTAGGCCAGATGAGTACTTGGAAAGAAAACAGGAAAGGAAGCTTCAGAAGCTCCCTTATGTCAACCTAACTCTGTAGTGTAGACCACGCTTTATTTTACCTTAATGCTGCTGATGTGACTGTCAAGGTTTTGCCTTTTATTTTCTCTGTATCAATGCATTTTTTTAAATCAAATCACCATGAAAAACTCAAATAGTGCTCACAGTTGGTGTTCTCTATTAAGGTTTTTGCCATCTCAGTGAGATTTCCACAAAATAAAGGTTTAAAGCTCCTGTTAAAGACAGAATTCTGTAATGCAACCTTAACTACAGTGCAGCACATCATAGAATGGAATAGCTCCATGGAGCAATTAAAAAACAAAATCAGATTATGCCTGGCTCTAGCCTGGGTCCACAGGGGTGAGGTGGGAGGGAACGGACAAGGATTCTTCCTTCTCTACAACATTCACACCCCCTTAAACAAGGCTCATGCATCATTCCATAGGATCTTTCTTGAATTTCTGTCCCCATTCCAGTCGCTTTTTTGGTATTTCTTTAGTACATATGCCATAGATTATATAGAAAAATAAAAGCTGGTTAAATAGTTATAGGGCATTTTAACAATGCTGTATCAGTGGCGGTCAGTTTATTGATTATATGCCAGTGTAACTCCAGTGATTTCAACAGAATTACTCCTGGTTTACACCTCTGCAAGATCAGAATCAGGCCTATTACTTTGTTTTTTTTAAGCATTTGTGAGGCTACCTGCAGGTTTTTTTCTGGAACTTTTTAAATGCAATTAGTTCTTCTAAAGTCCCTCCTGGGGATTGTTTGGTTAAATAATAACTTACTGTTACTTTGCTTTACAAGATTAGAGATTCATTTCTGTATGTTAAATTAATGCTTCAAAGTAAATGAGATCAGTTGTGGAATAAAGATTTCCACTTCCTGAAAGGTCAGCGACATTAAGATTTATGGGGACAGATTATCAAACCTGGAAATGTAAGAATTGCCACACTGGCTCAGATGAGTGGTCCACCTATTCCAGTATCCTGTCTCTGACACTGGCCAATTCCAGATGCTTCAGAGGAAGAAACCCTGTTGAAGGCAGTTCTGGCTAACTTTCCCCTAGGGAAAGTTTCCTCCAAATTGCCAGTAATTAAGGTTTGCTTATGCCCCACAGTTTACGGATTTATACCCCTTTGCAAG